ATTTTAAGGATTTATTTTATTCAGTTTAATTTGTTTATCAGCTTTATTAGTGGTGTGAAGTGGGATTCTACTTTAATCCCAATGCCTTACTGTGGTTATCTTTGAAGTTAGATGCATGAAAAATTGAATGATTTGTTGGATATCATTTTGAATAGTTTATGATTTTTTTTTTTATCTCTAGCTTTCTGTAAAGTATTCAATATTTAACACATTTGTAGTTGTATAAATGATATCGATTTATAGTTCTCTAACAATTTCCATTTAGTTATTATTCTGATTAGAGTGTGTTTTATGCAACACTTGAAAGTGTGTTACTTTTCAAGCTACAAAATTCATTTAGATCAAAGTTTTTTTTATTGCATGGATAATAATAGCTACTTCTGTAGAATTTTAATGAATATACTTGAACAGTTTAGACTTAAATTAATTGCAATGGAAAACTTAAGAGAGACCATCGGGGCCTTTTTTTCCGACATCCTCAATAAATATTGTTTTTGTGAGGGAAATTATTCCAGTAACTACTGTAGCATAAACATGTAGAAATATGATGTTCCATTTTATAATTAATAGGACATTTTAGTCTGCTGTATGTATGTAGAATAGCCACTGAGTCTGCTGTACTCTGTGGCTATTCTGAGGACAATCTTCTTTTCTTCAAACAAAAATAATGAGTAGTGAGTTTTTCTTTAGGAATACTGTATGTTGTTGATTTAGACGTGCAAATATTGGTCAATTTCGGTTGAACAATCAATAACATTTTATTCTGTAAATATTACCAAGGAATTATTTTACCAACTTGCGTATGGCTTTTTTAACGTTTTTAAACAAGTTACAATAGCACAAAACGTCATGATAGCCCACGATGGGTTTTTAACCTTCCCCTTATTACAGAAATTGAAATATCAATCAGCATAGCTTTGCCTGTAGATTTATCTCTTCATCATTTCAAATTGATTCTTACCATCCTCATCCTCGTCTGCATCCTCTTCCTCTGCTCTCCTGAGTCTCTCCTGCATTATTACCCTCTTGGCTACAGAGGCAAAGCTGCGTTTAGTAGAGGCAGCTCCAGAGGGCGATGTGATGGATTCAGTCATCGTGTTTGAGCCAGAACTAGATGATGGAGGAGAGGCAGATCCGAACTCCAAAGAAGATGACATGTTGGAAGAGGCCAGTTGAGGTTTTTCAGCTCCTTCAGCAGTGAAGGGCTTTGACACAGATGGAGTAAAAGGCACTGGCTTTGATTTCTCCAAAATGACAGGTTGAATGGGTGATGAAGAGGAATCAGATATATTTCCAGGATTTGACTGAGAAGGTAACTGGTAAGGATGAGGTGGTGCAGTAGGGTTATTAGGCATGGGGGTAGAAGGAATCTGTCTGGGAGCTGAAGGAGGGGGTCCCCTCAGGACAGGGCATGAATCTGTAACGCTGACAGAGGGTGCAGACGGTGTATCCTTCTCCATTTTTTCTAAAACACAGATAACAAAACAGTGTGAGATGGTTTAATTAGATAACTACATTATATTTTTCAGTTTCAAGTTTAGAGTCAATGTAATAAAATAGCAGGAATATGGAAAAGTTAAATAGAATAAGTTGTTCTTGGAAGTTTTTTTTTTTTTTTTCATTTGTCAAACATGTTTTGCAAATCGAACAGGTTCTACTTAGAAATTAGGGAGGTTTTAACCTGTCAAGAAAAATGACCCAAGCAGGGTAAAGTAATTTTCAATAATGAGATTTTAGCCTCAGATTGAAAGTAAATTTTGAAAAAGACAGCCTGTAAACAAGTATTGATTTACTTTCATTAAGCTGCACACATTTTAATGTTGATTGTCATGTTTTCTATAGCTGTAAGTAGAAAATCATCACAACTAACATAAATAAATGGTTAAAAAAACATAAGGCTGTATTTGATTATCTGTAAAATGTATTTCCATTCTGGAATTAATTTACTGAAATCAGTTAAATGTTTAATAACACTGAACTTTGTTGTATGGCTCTGTGGAGCTTTTGGTTTATAATACTTAACAGATGAAAACAATGCAATGTAAACTGCCAAACCCTTCACCAAAACTGCTGTCACAATGTCATAAAACACACTTACTTACCAAATAAGCAGACACGAAAACCCTCCTTGATTCAAAGGTTTCAATCCATGCCCAGTCAGTAGAAGAAGGGTCCCAGTAATAAGACACTCACAGGCTGCTGTCAGACTGGTCTATAAACAACACCACAAGTTCATGACCCGCCCACTCCTAAAATAGGCCCACTGTTATTAGCAGGAGCAATAAATAGTAATCAAAAAATATTTCTTTTATCGATAATAAATCCTATTAACCTGTTTTGTGAATATAAACTATATAAACAATCTTATGAAGTATAATTTTTTTTTTTTAATCTGACATTTTCACATTTCCCTTGATTTTCAAGAAAACTAAGAAAAGTCCAGGAAAGTTTTGGGGACTGTGGCCTGTTGAGTTCTAGGATTTAACATTTTTGCAACAATAACTATACAAGGAGATTTGAAGGTTTCAGGTTAAAACTATAATTAAGTGCTGTGCTCACCCATGTGGCACCAGTGGGGGGAAAACTGTTGATGTTCAGGAGGGATTGGATGCTTGCACATAAGTAACTGTTTTTAAACAAACAAATGCTTTTTGGAGGGTTAAAATCCTCCACAATTGTGATGGCTTTATCTTTTAGTATTAATGTGCTACCTAGTTACTTTGAGAGGCAATACACTTTTTCTGAATATATTAGGTAATGTTAATGAGAAACATTCTATAGGAGGGAAAAATGTATTTTGTGACCTACTCTAGAAATGAACAGGATCGCAATTAGGGACCTGGTCATTGAGATATGTAAATACAGTATATCTCTCATAAGTAAATTGATTAACAAAACATCAAAATGAATTTTAAAACTTTTATAGTGTTGTTTTCTCTTCTAATAAATAAAGACAACCTTTAGATAAAGTATAGAGTGACAGAGAATTAAGCTCCAAAAAAGAAATTAGGAAAATAATGAATGCAATAATAATACAGAACTGACTTAATTCATTACTTTTATGAACACTTAAGGAGAGGATTGCTACGCTAGGCAGCACGGCTCATAAAGACATTCAAATCTAACATCTCTTGAGGGATTTTATAGAGAATAAATACACAACAGGTCTTGTTGGACTGGCTGGATTCCAAGACTCTGTGGCTTCCTTTTCCTTCTTCAGTTTCTTTTGCACTGTCAATTTCTCTCTCTGACTCTCCTTATCTTAAGCACTTAAATTTACATAACTTTCCTCATCTTCAGTTATTCCTCCTGCTGTTACACTTTCAGTGGCCTCCCTCACCTTTGACCCTCTGGATTTATCTCCGTTTTATTTTTATTTTCCAAGGAAATATGCTGGTGAAGATTCTCAGTCATCCAGGTCATAGTCATTCAAAAAAAAAAAAAAAAAAAAAAGACAGAGGAGTCAGTGGTCAATTCAGATCAGAGTCAGCATATTGAGAAAGAAAGCAAATAGGTGGTGGGTGTATATGAGTGTCTCCATGAGGGAAGGTTTTATGGTAGGCAATAGACAATAAGGAGTGCAGGTTAAGAAAAGCTTTAGGTTTCATTGATTACATATTGCAGAGTCTTTAGTTCTTGTCTTTAATGTTTGACTGCCTCTGGTTTTCCCTGTGAAACATAGATTTGCATTATGATAGTCTTCAGTAAGAGGCCTCCTCCAGATCCAGTGCAAGACAAACCGCTACAGAAGAACCTTCTGTTCATCAGCTATCAACACCTGCAACATCAGTTTAAAAAATAACCTATGTGTTACTGTAACATTTCATTTGCCTTGGGGAGTAATAAAGTATTTTTGAATTTAACTGAATCTTCTCGTAGGGGGTGGGTTGACTTACAACTTTATGAATTCCTCATAAAGTGGAACTAACTGAATTGAGATTGCTGCGTCCCAAATGGTTTAACTTACCATTAGCTTTCAGTGATTCTATATCTTTGTATGTAAATAAATTATCCAAAGCCCAGAAGGTGAATATCATAAGGCTATTTTAAGAAAGATAACATCAAAGCACCTCAGTGCGCCTAGCCATCAATATATGGTCAGAAATATTTGGTTCATTAAATCTAACCTTTGGCATGGAAAAACAAGGTTTTAAGTGACACTGAATGTGGAATTTTTTTATAGTCTTAGACAATGGGTCTAAATAGAACTGCTGGTTAATAGATGTCTTCGCAAAGGGGCGTGGTGGACTAACAGTTAGGGCATAGAGCTTGGAATCCTGAGGTTCTGAGTTTGAGCCCCACTCCCACAGACTGCCACTCTGGGTTCCTGAGCAAAATCCTTAACCTTAAGCTCCCCAGCACCCTACAATGACAGCCCACTGCTCCCCAAGTGGATGGGTTAAATGCAGAGGTAAACTTCTCCAATGTGAAATCAATAAAGTTCAATTACTATTATTATAAATGTATTGCATTAAAACGTTTTTCATAGAGAATAACCAGCCAGTTTACTCAATTGTTTGGATCCGATCCCAAGTATTAGTCTTGATTCAAATAGGAATCAAAGCAGCAGAATTGATTGAACTGCACAAAGTGCCTTGTTATAAACCATGTATGATATTATGTATTTATGTTTACTATATAAATAAAATCAATTGATTCTAAAACTGAATTTGATCAATAAATTGCACAGAGAGATTTCTAATTCAATGTGGAATTGCCTCTCGAATGAGCTTGATCTGCTCTCACTAAAGCCTATTTTTATTTTCTTTTTCCTTCAGATTGTGTACTCATCCAGAAAGCATATGAAACAGCAGCATCCCCCTTTTAGCTCCCAGATGTAGGTTAAGGATGACACATGCTTCTTTAATCTGCACATCCCCCACAGTAAAAGAGAGAACCAGACCGAGATTGCTTAATTATCCCCGGTGGGTTATTAATTAATACACTGAATTTAGAAGTCCTTTTAAACTGAAGCGCTACGTTATCATTGGTGTGAGAGAAAAGGAATATATTCTCGTTAATTTCTCATCTCACGGCAGTAAATGAGTGCGCCTGTCTGAGGAGGCGGGACTGTGACCTGCTTATTGACGTAAAACATCAGAACTCTCCTCGTCGATGCAGACCGAATAAGCCAGCATCATGTCTGACTGCAGGAGGCAGTGGAACCGGGAGGATGAACTGCCGGTTTACCTCGCGGGACCGATCAGCACTGGGCCGAACCAGCGGAAATCCTACGGGATGTTCAGCTCCGTGGAGGGGGCGTTCGACAGCAAGACTATTGACTTCGACAACTACGCAGTGGGCCGAAAGGGGAGCCGCACCCCGAGAAGCGGGAGCCGGGAGAGGGTCTTGGACACCAGTGACCCGGTGGGGAAGACGCCCGGGGAGGCTAGAGAGGGTTCAGGGAACAGCCCAAGTGGGGATGCAGAGGATGCTCGGAGCGGTGTGGGAGTGAGATTCTCATCAGAGAAGGAGAGCTCCAACGGAGAGGTATGGAGATTTTTTTTTTTTTTTTTGCTGCGTTCTATTAAATATAAATGTCGAGCATTTAAAAGGCCTAGTGCAAAAACACATCTTATTGTGGCTGGAGACAACCTGCTCTCGATCCTACTTGGACCAGCAATTTTGTTTTCCTTATGAAGAAAGTAAAACTGGAATAGAGTATATGAGGTCCCAATTAAACTGCATAAATAAAAACCCTTTTTTTTTTGGTGTTTGTGTATGTGTGGGTGGGGTGGGGAGGTTGTTAGGGTTGCAGTTATTAAGGTTGATGCCTGCAGGGTTTTTAGGGGGAAAAAATCTCCCCTCGAAACGATTCCAGCTGAGGATCTAGGTGCTGAAAATGTGGTGCTGAAATGGACAGCGACACCACATTACCTCCTCTGTCTGTTCTGCCAGACTGGACCAACACCAGGCGAAATTAGATGAACATGTAATGTAAAAAAAAATATGCAAGCCGTACATTTTCTGGGTCTGAATAGACTTTGTCTAAATCTGCATTTCTTAAGAGTTATGTTAATAGGTTCCCGATTTAAAAACTATTTAAAAGTAAAAAAGTATTTTCTGAATATTAACTTGCATCTGAACTTAAAATTAGCTAATGCAAATAAAGAGAGGAAGTAAGCCATGCATTTTTTCCTTTTAACAAGATGACTAAATAAAACTTAGAATGGCATGATTGTTTTTGTCCCAACATTTTCTAGAAACTTTACAAAAATAATCATTCTACACTTTGGTGCACTTTTTTTGGTTCATTTTTTTTTGTAACATGCCCTCACATCAGCACTTACCCCATTGGATAATATATCATTGATGCTTTTTTCACCCCTTTGGATGCTGACCTTGTGTCTTTAACTACTGATACACTAACTAAGCACATATGATTTTCATACCCAAATTTGATTTTAGAAATGAAAGGACCTTTAAACATTTATTGTCATTTATTACTAAAGGACACTTCCATCCTGGACATATTTCAACCTAACATGCTATCCTTTTCCCATTTACCTGCAGTGATTATCATAAACATAAACCTGTAGGGCTTCATGTAAGTGCAGTTGAAACGAAAACTCGTTCTCCCTCTTACTCAATGACCACTGGATATAGAAAGACTAGATATAGAAACACTAGAATCCACTAGATGCGGTGGATTGGAAGGCAACTCCCTCAACATCTAGTGGTTGTCCTACAATGCTAATTGTTTCTTTCAGTAAATTAGCTCATAGTTGGCTCACTAAAAAAATGAATGCAATCTAACCAAGCACAGCTAAATGGAAACCATGGGATCAGTGGTGGAATGAACTAAAAGTGACCCCCCATATTAAATGCCGCTCAGGTCCTCATTCAGTCTGGGTCCGGCTCTGCTGTCAGGTGAGGTAGCTGCGTGGCCATATGCGTGCAGCTCCGTTTCCCGCACGCGCAAAGCTACACTCGATCTCGTCACTCACGTGCGCCAAGCACGGCGGAGGCTTGATCGCCCTCCGTCTCCGCTGCATTCGTGACAATAAAGCCTAAACAGAGTTATAGTGAGAGAAAAAAAGAAAGGAGGTAAATACATCCAGCGAATCGCAGGGCTGCTGGACTCATTCCGATCAGTCTGAGGGGGGGCAGAGGAGACGAAGGGAGCATGTCTGAGAGCAGCTATCAGGGGAATAACTGCATCCCCCATCAGACGGTAAGAGACCTGCAAATCCCCGCTGCAAGGCAGAAATGGGATTAAACTCTTAGTCAATGGCAAAGAACACCAGGCCCCTTTGTATATCTTGCTTCTTTGCAAATCCAAGATAGCTGACAGTCTCCCCCCCATCTAATAAAGTAAACTTCGTATTCTCTCTCTGGGTTGGACAGTGTTGTATAATCCTGTCGCCTGTCACTGTGGGATTAAAGCAATTGACGTGACGGTTGGACCGGGAGCTGAATTGCTTAGATAAGCAAAGCAGCATCGGTCACTATTTATGTATAAAAAAAACCAAATCTGACTGAGTTTGGGAATATAAAGCACACATAGTTGCTTTTATAACCTAAACCCAAGCGCTGCTATTAAAGGAGCCTGTCATCCTGTTGAACAACGGGTAATCACCGGTTACCATGGAGACCCAGCATCTTCTCTTTTGCTGTTGCCAGGCACTCTCCATGGTGCTATAGGGTGGGGACCCTTGTTCAGTGGGAAAATATGCCCTTCCATATTTTGAATGCAAATTCAAGCTTTGATAGTTGATCACTTTGATAGTTTGATAGTCCTTTCTCAAAGAGCTGGCGTACCATGTTGTTAAAGTTTGCTGGTTTCAGAACTTGATAAATGCATGGTCATAGGTTTAAAAAAAGTACCAGTTTTGATACAAAAGCAAAGAGCAAATATGTGTGTAATATTTATTAAATACGAATACTTTGTTTAGTTTGAAGCCTGCAATGAAAATTTCAAATATACTCTTAACTTGGGTCTATAGCTGCCATTCATGCACAGTCCTCACTTAGGGATTTATTAACCTTTAGTATTTCTCTGGAGGAAATTTAAAAATATGGATATATTTTAAAATATGCATAACATAACCAATTATCTAATGCAGAACATCCAAACCTTTCCTCTCTCCCACCATCCTTTCTCTCTGATCTCCCTGCAGGGTGAAAATTTGCTGATCAAAGGGGGTAGAGTTGTAAACGATGATCAGTCTTTCTACGCGGACGTCTACATTGAGGACGGGCTCATTAAGTATGTACAAAAAGTTATTGTCACTATTACAGTCATTAATGCTAGTTTTATGTGGAGCCGGTGTGTCATATCTCAGTCCTATTTTTACATTCACCATGTTTACATTTGATCACTGTTGCACTTTAAGAAATGGAAATGTCTTGAGAGCTGTACAAAACAAACTGTTGTTTTGCATACACCGAAAGTGTATAAAATGACAATAAAGTCTAATAGAGTGCCTTGCAAAGATATTCATGCCTGTTTACACTCACAAGCTTCAATTTCATCTCCCTATCAAATGAGATCAGACTGCAAAAACCATCAAGAATTAAGTAAAAAAAAAAAAAATCTTAAATTGAGTGTATTTACCTTTAATTTTAGTAGATAAATAAGATGATTTGCCAATGGAAGTTTTACTCCTAAAACAAGATAATTAGATAATATGAACTTGAAATAAGACAAAGCTGTTTTTTTTTCTTATTTTAAATGTAAATTGTCTTGTTCCATTTGCAAAGTATCTGAATTACCTCCTCAATTTAAAAAAAGTACTTAATTCAAGCAAAAATGAATACTTTTTTGCAATGACCTGTGTCTACTGAAGAGCATTTAACTTTACTGGATACAGCTTGAGATAAACTACTTTTTTTAGTCTTCCATAAAGCTCAGATTAGCATTAGATTCCCACAGTATAATGCTACCACCACTATATTTTGCTGTATGAATTGAATGCTGAGAGATATATGCAGCATTATTCTTCCACCACACATAGCATTTAGCTACTAGGCAAAAAAAGTATTTTATATTGTCCTATCTAAGCCCAAATATCAATGAAATGTTTATTAACTTGCAAGATGCTGCATGTTTATTAAAAACTTAATCAGATGCTTCCTTCATGTGACTACTTTTCTCTTTCTGTTCCCTCACCCTCTTGTATTTCCTCCTCTGCAGGCAGGTGGGGGAGAACCTGGCCGTTCCAGGGGGCGTCAGAGTCATCGAGGCTAAAGGCCGCATGATAATACCAGGGGGAATAGACGTCAACACGTGTCTGATGAAGCCTTACCTCAGCACACAGCCTGTTGATGATTTCTTCCAGGGCACTAAGGCTGCACTTGCTGGCGGCACCACCATGATCAGTAAGCTTGGACATTTTCAGGTCAGAATGTAAAAAAACAAATTAATTCCTTTCATAACGATTAACTTTGCTTTCCGTTTTCAGTTGATCATGTGACCCCTCAGCCTGGTGAAAGTTTGCTGGAAGCGTTTGAGCGCTGGCAGGAGGCTGCAGATAAAAAGGCATGCTGTGACTACTCTCTGCACGTCGACATCCCACAGTGGAACGAAAATGTAAAGGATGAGCTGGAACTGCTGGTGCAGGACAAAGGTGACACATCTGTGATTTATTTCTGCCATTCTTTACACATTACTCCTTTTGGCTGGCGACTATCAGGAACAGATTTGTAGGAATGATTCCAAAGTAGATATCCGAAGGCTTTATTATGTTACCAGTCTATGCAACTTTGTTATACACAAAAACACACAAAAATACACAATTTGTATTTACACAGAGAGGTGAACCCAACATGTATAATACATACTTGCTACTTTGATAAAAAAAAAAAAAACCAACAAGATAACTGCTAACATTATTCAATATGTTGATTATTGTAATAATAAAATCATGTAGGGCTGCTCAGTGGCGCAGTAGCTTGCAGCAAGAAGGTTCTGGGTTTGATTCCTGGCCTGGGGTCTTTCTGCATGGAGTTTGCATGTTCTCCCTGAGCATGCATGGGTTCTCTCCGGGTACTCCGGCTTCCTCCCACAGTCCAAAAACATGACTGTTAGGTTAATAGGCTTCTCTACAGTCCCTTAATGTGAGTGTGTGTGTGTGAATGGTTGTCTGTCATTTTTGTCTCTGTGTTGCCCTGCAATGGACTGCCGACCTGTCAAGGGTGTACCCCGCCTCTCGCCCATTAACTGCAAGAGATAGGCACCAGCATCCCTCGCGATCCCACTCAGGATAAGCGTGCTAGAAAATAGATGGATGTATTATTATATAAATCATGTATTATTCTTTATATTTTTATGTTAATGCTCATACGTCTTGTGCAGAAGCTACATTAGACCACAACATGATACTTCTTTGGCCATCTTTTTCTTTTTAGAAGTCATAAGTCTACCTAAAGCTGATGCATTAAGCTTAGTTAGAGTAGCTGTTATCTGGCATCACCATCTTAGCTGTCTGCAATCAATTTATTTAAAAATCTTACGTATTACATTACTTAAAGGTATTACTTTTATCACTATGTTGTGTGATGTTATTTCAATTCCCAGCGTATGACTGTTCATGTTTTTCTGTGAATGAAAATTGTCTTTTTTCAGTGGTAGTAGCATTATCAGCTGACAGGCAGTAAGCAGCCACAGATCTTCAGTTGTTCAATTGAGTCACCCAGTCAGATTGGTTAAATGTTTTTCTTTTAAAGAAAAGCCTCCAGAGTGCTCTGATTCATGTTCAGAGAGTTCAGAGAACCACTCATACCTAGATCTCACTCTCAGTTTGAAATATAGGCTTGATTATTACTGTCATTATCATCTGCTCACTTTGAAACCTTCCTTGTTGTCAGGCATCAATTCCTTTCAGCTGTACATGGCTTACAAAGATGTGTACCAGATGACAGACACTCAGGTAAGGTTCCTAATTAGTGATATAACCCAAACAAATTCTGCACAAGCTCTGTATTATATACTGTATTTTAACCAAGTACATTTCTGAATTTATAACTTTTTAAAATGTACATTTATTATTGTTATTATCCTCTCAAATCTGCAGTTGTATGAGGCTTTCTCCTTCCTGAAGCAGTTGGGTGCGGTGGTGATGGTTCATGCTGAGAATGGAGACCTGATTGTGCAGGTAACTGCTGCAGTTAATGATAATTCCTCCTTCTGGTTGAAAAAGGCCCAACATTGGCTCTTCTCTCTCAGGAGGTGAATGATCTGGACTCAGCACCTAGCAAACTTTGATAGAGAATCTGAAAACATGTTGTGTCTCAGGATGAGAGTGTGGTACAGAAGCTGCATGGCACAGGAGAGACAAAAATTTACTATGAGTGGTGAAGAAAGCAAATGCATTGTGGGATGCTGTCTACAGCATCTGGCTGACTTCCCCCCAATTAGCAGAAGTAATTTAGACGTTGGTTTTCAGGCTAAATCTGGTCGGTCCATCTTATTCTTGATTTATTCCAGAAATAGTTGCTGAAGCCTGGGCTGTGTTTGGTCAGTCTGATTTGTCCCACTTTAGTTCAATAACAGACGTTTAAAAGTGGGGTGATCTGAAAATTACGGTTTCTCACCTTTCACTTTTTCACTAAATATATCATTTGGATGTTAATCATGTCGTCTTTTCATATCTTTTCAACTAATCTTTGCTGGGTGGGGTAACTTTAACACTAGTCCAGAGAAGTTCAAATGCCCACCCACCCAGGCTACATTGTGTTTTGTCCTACATTTATCAGGAAAATAATCCCGGAAATTTACAACTATAACAAATGAAGTTAATAATAATTTCCTGCTATTTCCCATGTAAACATTTTGATACCTTAAGGATTTACAGTCATTGATCCAGTTTTAAAACCTGTTTTTTTTACCGTTTTGCTGTCTGTTTTTTATTCATGTGCATTCTAAGCCAAGTGTCCAGTTAAAATTGGATGGTGCGTCCATTATGACTATAATGATTCTTGATTCAGTTTCCAGGCTGCAGCCTGAGGAATGTGCATGTTATGTAACTCACTATCTTTCAAAAGGGTAGTTAGAGGATAACTGCTGCTGCTGTCATCCCTGACGTTTAATATCCTAATGGTGTTGATGTAATGGTGATTAAGATTGATTGGTGCAAGTTAAAAAAGGATAAAGCAGCATTTTAAGATAAAAATGTAATATTTAACAATAAACGAACAATTCTGAATATTATTTCCATATTTGTTTATACAATCACCCTGTTGAGATGCTATAATAACATCTGCTATTTGGAGCAATAATAAAACGCATTCATTTGAAGTCAATGTCTTAGGCAATAAAATCAAAAACATCACTAGAACTTCAAAAAGAACTTGTAATGCATAATTTAATGCTAACAGAAACTAGAACGTATGAAAATAATTCAGAATTTTGTGTTTAAGGAACAAAGAAAAATCCTTGGAATGGGAATTACTGGCCCTGAAGGCCATCCTCTGAGTCGACCCGAAGAGGTAATTATTCTCTGGTATTAAACCCTCACTGCTCAATGCACAATCACTGAAAAACACTGAAACACTTTCTTGTTTTATACAGCTAGAAGCTGAAGCAGTTTTCCGTGCCATCACTCTTGGAAACCGTGTGAACTGTCCTGTCTACATCACCAAAGTGATGAGCAAGAGTGCAGCTGACACCATCACTCAGGCCCGGAGGAAAGGTACATCTGATCTTTTCCAGTTTATTCTTATTTTTAGGGTCTTAAAATGTATTACAAGCATACGTACCCAGTACACTTTAACACATTTATATCTACATTATAAACATAAACTCAGAATTTTATCAGGTAAACTAACACATAGTTGGGGCAGAGCTTATAAAGTGGATAGATTTTCATTTTATTTATTTTTTTAGTTTTCAAATAAATAAATAATACCGGTAACCCCTGTTAACCATTTCAGCCCCCAACAATCCAGTGCCACTAAGGAATTACCTAAAATGTCAGTAGAATTCACCTGTGTGTATCTAATCTCTGTATACATCCAACTTGTGTATGGAGAGTGAACAAGCAGCATCTGTGGAGATGTTAAAAGTATTGCTTTCTTAGACGGTACTATCCCAATCATTAAACCTCCCATAGGGCACTATTCAAAATTCAAGAAAATTACGACCCTGCTGCTGCAGGGTTAGATTTTGTTATCTAAACTGACAAGCTGAGCAAGGAGAGCATACATCAGAGAGCTAACCAAATGGGAAATTGTAGTTCTGGAAAAATTGAAGAGATCTGTAGCTCAGTAGGTAGAATAGTTTAACAGGACAGTGATTGGTTGTGCATTCCACAATTTAATTATTTTTTAACATTGATGGGGAGTAAAAGAAGGCCATTGTTAAGATAACGCCATAATAGTCTTTGTTGAGAGCAACTGTACAAAGTAAGGTGCTTTGGCCACGGGGAAACAAGACTGAAATCGTCTTTCCTATACTGAAATTGGGGGGGGGGGGGGGAGGCCCAGTTAAAGACCATAGCTATGTATCTGTGTATATTTTGTGTATGATTTATGTTGTTAGTAAATGCATACCCTGTGTCTTTTTACATCCTTTTCACATATATACAATACTGTTGTGCTGCTCTATCTCATAAAATCCCATGATATACAATTGACATAATTTAGATGTGATTCAATGAGAAAACGTGAATCAATGTGAATATTTCAGGGAACCTGTAATCTAAAATGAAAGCTTAAATTTTTTACCAAATGTTTCTGTCTCTATCATTCCTCAAAGGCTCTGTGGTTTTTGGGGAGCCGATTACAGCGAGCCTGGCAACCGATGGTTCTCATTATTGGAGTAAGAACTGGGCCAAGGCAGCTGCTTATGTGACCTCTCCTCCACTGAGTCCTGACCCCACCACTCCAGATCATCTGCACACACTTCTGGCCTGGTAAGATCCAAGCACTTCTTATCCCTTTTAATGAACACAGCTATCCTATTTATTTGATTCTGTTGAGGCAGGATGTTCAAACCCTTTAAGTTTTAATAGCACAAAATATACTATGGAACTTTTTAATTTAGCTATTTTGCTGTAACCTTTGAATAATGTGAACTGAACATCATCTAGCTGACAGGAAAACTGGCATCTTTCAGATCCACTAATTATTCTATATTATTACAAATGCGATAGCAAGCAAAATAAATGACTGTGAAAAATAATCAGATGGTGAAAACATATGCATGAGGTAGAAAGAGCAGGGAGAACAAGGCAACTAGAATAAAATAATCATCTAATTTAGAAATAGGTTCAACTGAGGTAAACAATAGGATCATGAGAGTTAAGATGTTAGAATCCCAAAATGGGGAAGAGAAAAGTCCATGAGACCAAACCCACTTCTACACTCGTCCCAGACATGAACACACCCACCAGCAACTTCCAACTACACACTTTTTGTCTGTCCCCAATACCATAAATAGCACAGGGCCTAGACACTCATCAACTGTTGCCTTGGATACCAAGTGCCTCCCATCTCTTCTTCAGTCCTCCCATCTCCTTCATTCTACGCTGCTCCTCTGCACTTCCTGTGCATCTTCAGGCGCTTCTTTGCTGTCATTCACATGTGAAAAGAGTATATTCTTAGCTTCTTCCTCAAAGAGAGTATTTTCTGCCATTTGTCGGTGAGGATCATTATTGCTGTCCTGATATTAGTGTGATGAACAAACAATAATTACTGTAATTGAGGGTTATTATGCATCTCCTTCTACATGTTTTTCTAAACTGAGCACCAACACTCAATTGGCTTTATTGTGTTGTACAAAAGAAGGGTTTAAGTGAGTGTTTGCGGTACTTCTTATGTAATATACATATATTACGCTATTCTTTAACCAATGCTCTTGAGTTGAAGCTGCAGCTCCACTGCACCATCCAGACTTGTACAGCTGGCTGGTTTTATGTTAGAAAAACTCTTTTTGACAGGTACTTCAAACAGCGGCTCAATGAGGACACCTGGTGGTCAATTTACACCAAGCAACAATCCCTCAGTCCATCTCTGATGAATAAGCATGCCCTCAAGTGTATATTACCTTGCATATATGTACAGTTTTTCCACATTTTCTCCACACAAGAGCACAAATAAGTGCAACATTGTAAAAAGGAAAAGAAAAATGTTTTACAACATCTTTACAAATGGGAATCCCAGTGTTCCATTTATTAATCTTTATCCCTCTTATCTCTGTCACCCCTTAACAAAATCCACTGAATCAATGGCCTAAACTTTTATCTCAGTATAAATCCAGCTTCAGTGGCTTGTTAAAGAAAGCTAGCATCACAAAGACTGTGAAACAGAGCAGCGCAGACAGACCTTTGGTAAAAGGTTTAAGGCAGCATTATGGTATAAACAAATATCTCAAGCTTTGGAAATTCCACATAGGCCTCTTTAATTCCTCATCAAAAGGATTAGTATACAAAAATAGCAAAACTTTGTCTTTGACAAAACTGACAGAACAGCCAAGGAACCTGAAAACTCTTTTTTAATTAAAGATGCAGCCAAGAGGCACAAAGTGACTCTGGCGGAGCTGCAGAGATCCACACCTTAGGTTGGGGAATCAGCACAGGACAAATATTAGTCATTCACTTCACCAATCTGGATTTTATAGAAGAGGAATAAAATCAAAGCTGTTTTTAAAAGGCAATCAGAAGAAGAGCTATTTAATTATAAACAGAATCCATATAGGTGAATGTGCTGTGTTCGAATTAAACCAGTAGACCTTTGGCCCAATTCAAAGCTATTATTTTTGGAGGAAATCTAACACTGCACAATAAACATGCTGTCCCTTTAGGGATCACAATTAAATGAATTTGAAACATAACAGAAGGTTTACAAACATCAAATTTCAAATCAAAGAGGCACTCAACATTCTTCACATTACATTTAACAGGATAAGACTCTAGATAGGTGGTGGCAATCTGCTGCCACATAGAGAGGAAGTGAATATTGCAGCTAGAAGGCAGATCCATGCATCTGAGTAAAAGGAAGCATATTTCCATTCAGGAACAACACCTCCAGCAGCAACTCTGAACAAGCTAGCTCATTTAGAAAATTAAAACTCAGAGTGAAACATCTCCATGTTTGTGAGTTGTGCAAATGAAAATAAAAAATCAACCAAAACCTCAATTTTAGATAAAAAAAAAATATAACAATAAATCACAATTGTTATTTTTGGCTAAATTGCTCAGCCCTACTATCCCTATGGTTAACTGTGGTACTGATAACATAATGCTTAATGTTTTTTTTCTTTAACATAGACTGGAACATTTTATAGGGTGAGAGGACGATGGATGGACCTAATAAAGGAAATCCTGGGAGTTAAAAAGGAAGTTGTTGGAGAGTATATAAGAATATTGGCCGACCTAAAGCTGGACAACAACAAACATGCAGACACAGCTACAATTAACATTAGATTAAAACAAACTGTGTTAGGATGGACCTGTTAAAATACAGACCTGAATCTTGTTCAACATAATTGGCAAGACAAGAACACTGATGTTCCCAGACACTGTCCATGTGATCTGATTGAGCTTGAGCAATTTTTGGACTTGTTTTCTTTCTTGTTTATAAACCTTTTTTCTTTACCTAACTATGCACAACTTTGGTTATTTGTCAATAACCAAATTCAGTTAAAAAATATTAGAGCTTGTGGCTGTAATATATTAAAATAAGACAAGGTCTAAGGGGTATGAATACTTTTGCAAGGTGAACTACGTTTCTGTTTTGCAGAGTAATCTTATTCTTTGTTCTCAGAGACATTTTTTTACCAAAAAAAAAAAAAAAAAATCACTCTGTGTCCCTTCGATTCTTTGTTTCAGCGGGGACCTCCAGGTGGTGGGCAGCGCTCACTGTGCATACAGCACTTCACAAAAAGCTATCGGCAAAGACGACTTCACCCTGATCCCAGAGGGAACCAATGGAGTCGAGGAAAGAATGGGTTTTGTCTGGGACAAGGCTGTGGTGAGCAAAGACAGTCTCAATGTTTTTTCCGGTCCTTGTGGCTCTCTGGCTTTTGTTTTTCATATAACCATTTTAAATTCCCTTTCTTTCTCACTAAGGCCATGGGAAAGATGGACGAAAACCAGTTTGTTGCAGTCACTTCAACCAACGCTGCAAAAATCTTTAATCTGTACCCACGTAAGGGACGCATAGCTGCTGGTTCTGATGCTGATATTGTTATCTGGGACCCTGACAGTGTGAAAACAATCACTGCCAAACTGCAGCAGTCGGTAAGTAGCATACGATTTATAAACTGTAAATAAAACAGTTGTCGTCAACTAAAAAGTTACTGTATGGGTAGGGGTAAATATTTATTATTTGTAACAGGGTAGAGGAATTTTTAAACTATACATTATGAGGTAATGTGATTGTTATTCTGATGGGAAAGCTGTTTTTTTCCTATTTAGCAACAGATATTCATGAGAGTATTTTATAAACACTTTAAGCAAACATTTCACTTTCACTGAAGAAAAGGACATTCTGTGAAAAATGCACTTTGGATAAGCTGCTAAAAAAATACTTCACTATGCAAATCTGCCTTACGCATGCAAATCAACACAAAGCACTTTTAAATGCATTCAGGCTATATGCTGGATCTAACCAAGACTCCCTGTCATGATGCCACCCTGGGGTTATAATCCCCTCTTCAACCCTCAAAATCTCTCCCCACCAAATTAATTTCATTGTCAATATTCCATCATTGAGCCCTTTGATAAATTCCTTTCTCTATATCTAAATTACCAAATCCACTCTTTCCCTCTTATAGACTCCCTTTATCTTTTCTATTTTTCCCCCCTATCTTTCCAACCCAGGCTGCAGAATACAACATCTTTGAGGGTCTGGAGTGCCGTGGTGGGCCGGCGCTGGTGTTGAGCCATGGCCGGATTGTTTACGAAGGCAGCAAACTGCAGGTTCAACCGGGCACTGGTCGGTTTTTACCACGCAAGCCATTCCCTGACTTTGCCTACCAGAGGGTCAATTGCAGAAATCAGGTAGAGTCCAAAAAATATTTCAACAGCAACATTAAGGATTTGGTGTTTTGAAAAAGGTGCATTGGAATTTGAAGGACTGCATTATATTGAACAAATTAGACAAAATTAAAAACTCATTAATAAAACATTGCTGGTTCTGTGTAAAAACATTTGTTGGATAGAGTTAAAGCCCTTAGGTTGTTGAGACAAAAAGATGCTGACCTTTAATGGTTAGAAAAAGATTTTAATAATAATAATTATTACATTTAATAATTAATAATCATTAATAATTCTTGTAAGCTTTTCACCTTTGTAATCTAGGAGACACTAACTTTATTATATTTTATGGAGATTTTAGGAAATAAACCAGCACAGAAGAGATATGTTTTTTTATGCAGCCCTTGAATCAAGTATATTTTTTTTATTTCAGAAGATATTATGCCTTGATTTACTTAAAATGTCTTCAAATTAGAGCAGAAAGAAAATACACAGAAGTGCATATATTTGTGTGTTTTCAAAGAATGTTTTCTAACTTCATTTTGTAAATTTTCTTTAATAGGTTAAGAGCAAGCAGGGTGTCACTCGAGGGATATATGACGGCCCTGTGTACGATGTTGCTCCTACACCTAAATATATTACTCCTTCTCCGTCAGCCAAGACTTCCCCCACTTCTCACCAACCACCGCCGATACGCAACCTTCATCAGTCCAACTTCAGCCTTTCAGGTTCAGTAAACAGCTATTTTTATATCGGAACACCTCAGAGGCACCATTTAAGTTATTTTGTTGTGAGGATTTTTTTTGTATTATTATAATCAACAACACTAGTTCTATCAACTGCTGTAGCATGATGTCATGTTGTAGTGGGTTTAGAAAACCAGTTTAGAAAAATCCTCAAATCAGGAGCATTTGTGTTGGGTAATTTTAACAGTTTAACTTTTGTCTCTAAAAACTACATACATTCAGTCATAAAATCCCTAGGTTCTTTGCATTAACGGCAGACCAAATATGGACCAGTGGGTTACAAATGATGAGTAAGATTAACACAGCCAACAGGCCTAATCAGGCTAACTTAAACTAATAATGCTGGAGTTGTTTAGGTAAGAGGACAAGAACTAAGGTTAATATCTCCTGCAAAAAATGTTATATTACATCTAAAATTATTTAACTAAGATCTAAAAATTATTTCAGTTTGTTTTACTTTATTTTCATTTTATGTAACAGGAAGTAACATTTCCTCACTATTGGAGAAAAACATGGCATTCCACAGAATGTATCATAAAGGATTACATTGCTTTGTCATGGAAATTCCACAGTTTTGAGGGGTAATTGATAAGGTTGATTTCCTCACACGAAGCAGAAAGTTTTGAAGATTTCTTGCCATAGAGCAACAAGTTTTATTTCAAGCTGTTTTAAAAAGCCCTGAAATCAGACATCACAGGGGCTTTGTCTGACTTGCTGTTAGTCTTCTAGCTCTGTGAGGCTTTCTTTGCTTTTGATATATTCACTGTGATGACATATTTCATGTACAGGAAAATGAACTATGACTGATAATAACGGCACAGAAGCTCATGTCCAGGACCTTTCTTAACCCTTAAAGCTACTTATTCTTGCAATAATCCCAAAATGTGTCTGTTTTTCCTTAGGTGCTCAGATTGATGACAACATCCCTCGTAGGTCTGGCCACCGCATCGTAGCACCCCCAGGTGGTCGCTCCAACATCACCAGCCTTGGCTAAAGGCTTGGCTCTGCATTTGCAAAAACCATGGCCGGATTGGGGTTTGGTCTTTTAGGTGTGCATGGGTGTAAAAGTATGACTGCCACGAAATAATATCTTTGTGTAAACTCCAAAATGTTTGTTTTTTCAGCTTTGCACTTATGTTAAGGACATCCATGCTACTAGTAAAACAATGTGATTCACAATCAGACAGCCTATTTAAAACTTAGCTAAACTTGTTCAGGACCAACCTAATCCTGTTGTTCTTCCTTTTAAATACAACTTTCCTTTTATTCTTCCTCACTGTCTATTTCTTAATAAATGAGTCTGCTCAGACATGGTGCTACTTTTCCACCACCTGGTGGACTGCAGAAAGGTTCACTTTTGTTGTATGTTTGCCTGCAAATAGTTTGAACACCTTTAATATTATTAATTTCATTTGAACTGAAATAGGCTGGTTTTACATAGGCTATTGCATGGACAAATCTTTAAATGTTGCACTAGTTGTTAATTGTGGCAACACATTACACATGAAACTGCACTAGAAGCACATTTTTATCCAACAGCACAAACCTGTTTGCATACTGGAAAAATGTAGATGCTTTAATAATGTATTCCCATTCACTGTGGACATGTTTGGCTGCTCGTAGCTAGGAAACATAGCATTCACCGAAAAAGTTCCTGCAACTGCAATAAAAACAAAATGAGTGTCCTCCACCAAATACTTTATGCAAAACATGTTGATGTTCTCCTCCTATTCCAATGTGAAAGTGGTTTAGACTGATTTTAGACCAATATAACAGTTTTTTCCCCCACAAAATCTGTGATGTTTTTAAGGGGCTTCTTTCAATAACTGTTTCTGGAAATGATCATTTCTTTAATGAAGCCCTGAGCTTACTTCTGTAAAAAGGGATCCAGAAACCTTCCTTGCTCTCTCAATCAATCTTTGTAATCTGTTTATGTTCCCTATGCTTAATTCTAGGTGTTTTTGTCATGTTGCTCCAGTTAGTGTTTCCTAAGTGCTTGTTTTTTTTCTTTCTGTGTTATAATTTGTTTGTTGGAACCACTAATTAATAATAAAGTTTGGACTGTTGTCAAGACCTATTGTGAAAAGACTCTTGTAAGTGTAATACACATTCAAGAAAATCAATTACATTTAACTCTTCGAAGATGACAGCCCAGGACAGAATTTCGAATTATTAATTAATTTAAGTGATTACAGAACAGTACTAAGATCTAATTGGCTTAAAAAAAGAATGAATAACTTCACAGACTCATGCAAGCAGAGGTGGTAGTATCTTCTTACATTGACTCACTTATATTTACTTGAATAACTTTTTGAAAAAAAATAGTTTTGATAAATTTACAGCACAATGCTTTTATTTCTTCTTTGTATTCTTTTGAGATTACAGAAGCCCTGATAGGCTAGTGAGAAAAAAAATATGTAGAGATGAAAAGTTTTTTCATTTTTTTCTTCCTGCCTTTGTCATAATGGGTTTTAAAGATCTGACCCACATGCAGAGAACCACTCAGAGACCAAGGGTAAAAGTTTAACAGGTTTATTGTAGGTTAGCAAACACTGATGGAGATTGAAACTCTGTGGGGAAACAATGCTGGAAGTCAGCGGACTGGTGAACCGGAACCGGAAATTCTTAAGGGGAGATTACACTGATCAGTTCAGGGACAGTAGGAAAATAGACTGAGGCTTGAATATTGCTTGAGAGGCAGTCACTCTTGGGGGGGCCTTTGGTTTATCCTTGGATCCAGTTTGTGGGGTTTTAATCCAGAGAAGAGGGAACTCGTTGGAGGGCGGACAGGCAGACATACGTTGGGCCCAGAGGAGTAAAGGAGCGGACTGTCACTTGGTTTTCCAGGAGTGGACTTAAACGGATCATGTGGAGGTTTTCCCCTTGCTCAGTGAGACTCAGTAAATCCTTCCAGGGGTAGAAGGTCCAGGCTTATCCAGTAACACAGGAAGTCTTCCTGCCGAAGAACAAAGAAAAAAAAAAAAAAAAAAGTTCAGACTCAGAGAAACAATGCTAAGGTTAGGTTCTGCTAATCTCAGTTTGGCTAGAGTACCCAATGCTGGCAAACACTCGACACGCGTCGAGATGGCCGCTGCTCAAGTACTCCTCTGGTAATGACCCAACGAGCCGCAGGTGTGCAGGGAGGCCCAACGAGGACAGGGCACCGCCCGGTGGTGGAGAGAGGAAAACACAAAAAACAACATACACAAACTGGAATCCTAACAGCCTTGAAAGCAAGTGTTTTTTTTTTAAGGCTAAAAAGCATTTACTGAAAGCATGTTTTTAGTTTATCTACGTTATACAGTCTTAGCCCTAAGAAAGAGAAGTCATAATGTTGGCCAAAAACATATCCATGATAACCACTTTAATTAACTATCTATATGGCTAAGGTTTATATAATAACTACATTCCAAGGGGCAACAAATAAAATTTTTTTGCACCTTCCTTCAACCTTATTTTAGTTTGTAAACATGTAGTTTAGAAGTTGGGACATTATTCTGGGAAACATGGCCTCTCACTATCCATTTGAAGAAGACATCAGTTGAGGTCTGTGGTTCTATTTCATCCCTCCTGTCCACCAGAGGGCGGTGTTGAAAACACTGAATGTTCCCTTCGGGCATGTGTAATTCTAGTAATTATGTCTACAGAGTCACACCTGTGACAACTCAGAAGCTACAATACATAGCCTTGTGTCATCCTTTCTTGTGTCATTCCTTTTTTCTTCTCCCAAGTGGTCTGCTATCTTCTCCATTGTTTGATGCAACTGTCTCAAGCAGCTTTCTTGCAAGACTGCTTTTCTGTTAGCTATCATCTCAGCTAAGAGGGTAGGCGAGCTACATGCTCTCTCTGTCAGCCCTACCTGTATCAGGTGGGCTGCAGGTGGCTCCGGTGTTACCCTGTGGCCTAATACTGCATTTGTGCCTAAGGTGTTGTTTCCTTTTCATCATAACCAGCCAATGCGGCCGGCTCGGTTTTAGCCTCAGTCAGGTGCAACTAAGGATGGGTCTGAAGTATTGTGCTCATCCACTGGGTCAGGTCCTTTTACAAGGTTCTGCTGGGCCCTCTCAGTGAGGCATGTGTTTAGGATTCCTTTCATTAGTCATTCAGTGCTTTCAGCACTTCCCTCTGACGGTCAGGAGAAATGAAATAGAATGGACTTTAGTTATGTAATTATGGTTCTATGAATCCCGGATGACCGCAGAGTTTCTGTGTCACTTAGAACCCTTACTTCTGCAAGAAGATTCTGCAGGAACAGAGCAAATGATGACACCACACTATGTAGCTTCTCAGTGGTCATCCGGTGTCACAAGTGTGACTCTGATGGTATAATTACTCGAACTGCGCATGCCCGAAGGGAACATTCAGTGCTTTCAGCACCGCCTTCTGGTGGTCATCCGGGATTCATAGAACCATAGTTACAGTAAATAAGCAACTTTCTATTTACATCAGTGCATCTAGTGGCAATAAAAAGCCTTTGCCTTTCACTTGCCTTTCAGGGGAGGAAAAGATAGGCAAAACAAAACAATATATATTAAAAAAAGTTATTCTCTTTTTCTAGTTAGAAGCTCTTAAACAGTCCTCTCTGTTATTTTTTTTTAATATGCAGATGTATTGTGACAACCTCATTTGAATAAATGTTTTCATGAAAAACATATAATAGACACATAATAGAAACACATTATCTTTGTAACAGCATAACCTTAAAAGATTAATGCTGATACAGGCACTTGCATTTTTTTCTTTTTTAGTCAGCTTATTAATTTTTTGACATGGCATTTCAACTTTTTCTCTTAACTTTTTAGCTTTTCGACTTAACTTATTAACTAAAAAATAAATATATATATATATATATATATATATATATATATATATATATATATATATATATATATATAAAGTAGGTAACATTTCAACCACTGGCTGATCTAATTTGTTACATGCCAAAAGGACATGTACTGCCACTTAGTTGTGTCTGAATATAGATCTGATGCTTCTAGAACTCACTGAGTAACAGGGGACTCCATTTATAAGGGTGTGCAAGTGACCAAAAATGGCAACTTTGAGTAATTTTTATGAGAAAGAGTGGCTCTTGTGTGAATTTAGTTTAAGCAAACCAGAGAAGTGTTACATTTTGTGTTGAAACATTCATTCTCTGGAAGTTTTGGGCATTTCTTAAACAAACCTGGCAGCCTGGCTTAACAGCAAATAATCATATGCTACAGTGTCAGATCCCATGTGAGTGAGTTGGTATATGTATTGGTCACTCTCACTTGTTCATTAACTGCAAGATGTGATAGGCAGATGCAGGTCCACAGCTGTAGCACATCAGGACTAATTGGGAGTAGATTAAAGAGGCGCAGATCCAGAGGAAGATGTTGCATTTTTATTGCTCACAGCACGGTAATTAGGCGGTCATCTCTTGAGTTACTCTTGTTTGTACTTTTCTTGATTTAACAAAGTTTGCTCTACCCTTTATTAGGGACTTATTGTTATTCAAGTTCCTGCATTCCTGTGCTTCACTTCCTTGCTCCTTTAGTTTCTACTGAAATTGTTGCAAGCTCCCTTCTATGAATCTCCTCATTGTTGAATATTTTGTCGGAATGAAAGGAACAGCACTAGGCTGGTTTTAATCTTTTTGTTCTCTGACATATTTCAGTTTGTTCACATTAATGAGAAATCTTCCTTATACTGGAAGAAGGAGCATTTTAAATTCTTTTCTGGATTTAACAGGAAGCCAATGACGGGAAGCTACGTTATGACAGATATGATCTCTCTTTTTAATTTTCAACCAATTTGATATAGTAAAGAGAATGTCAAATGTAACTCTACAAAATTCTTAAATTTTCTTTATATAATATGTATTTTTTTGCTTTTACTGTTTGTATTTGGAATATTCAGTGTTAAAGGCACAGAGGGGCAACCCATTAACATAATCTCGCTGTACCTTTTCCCAATTATTTAATACTTTTAACATTGTGTTTATTTCATTTTCTCATATTAACACATAACATAGCAAGTTGCACATTGAACATCTTATGTTTGTTTTACCCCATCAATTTCACTCCCTCCCCCCAAACCCTTTTACTGGTACATATATTTGTAAAGATAAGCATATAGATATATGTCTGTATACATGTGCATATATACTGTACATCCACCTACAGGCACCCCTGCATATCTATACACACATATATGAAAAAAATTAAGATAAGTAAATAAAATAAAATATATAAACAAATAAACTTGTAGCAAAACAATCAAGACTTCAAAAATACATCATTAAGTAAAATAAAATACTGTTCCCCAGTAAGTAATGGTTAGTGTGGAATAAGAATGTTGAGGTATTTCTGTTTTAAGTCACAGGCTCCAAAGGAAGGACAGGAGAGATAAGGATAAGAATGAGTTCACACAGCTTCCCTCATGGCATGAACAGGAGGACGGCTGTTTTGAGAAGTTCCAGTGAGTGATGGTTGGAAATGGACACTTCACTCACGCTCCCCGTGTTTCACGAATTGCGTGAAAAACATGTGACTACTATAGCCACTAGGTGGCAGTCTGAGTCCATTTCAGCGTCCCATGAGTCAGGATTAGATAGCCCAATGAGCAGACTGGGAGGTGTTACGTGTTGCAAGCTGATAGCGTAGAGGGTAGGGTGAATGATCTGCA